AATATTTAGAAAAATTAATTCAATAAAAATAATTGCTACAGAAATGCATTTTTACGTCAAATTAAACTACGCTAAACATATGTTTTTATAAAATAATTGTAAAATTAATTTTAAACTAAATATCCAAATATTTATATAAATAAATAAAAATGTAGTCGGTAATATCAGTGTTCTTCTCCCGTAGTTTTACCCCGAGCTAAAGGTCTCTAACCCCTAGAACGTAATATCGATTCGTGGGACTGCAGTTTAAATTACGTTTAAAAATACAATCTTTTTTTATATCTTTCACTTTAGAGAATTAATTTTTTTTGTACAGTAATATTTTCTTTTTAATTTTTATCTTTAGTTTTATTACGTTTACATTTTTTTTAGAAAATCAAAATTATTAACCATATTTCTCTGAATAATTGAAACATTTAACATGGCTGCTCATACAATTCTAAATTTAAAAAATCATATTAATTAAATCCTGAAAATCAATACTGTCTCGTCAATAATTCATAATCTCGAACTGACTCAAAGGATAAAATAGCAACAACACATTGTCAATTTATCAGCAATCCATAATTTAAACGTTGCAGTTACAATTGCAATATTTATATATAATTTTAAAGTTTAATATTACTACATTGATAACTATTTGTTACGATAAAACGTAATTTCTCATCAGTTGCTCATTATTTTTATTTATATATTTTTCATTCTAAGTTTATAGATAATTATAAATAGGATAAATGTTTAAGTTTCAAGCTGTTTTGCATTAAATATTACAAATAAAGATAATAACATTTTATATCTCTCATAAAATTAGATAAGTCATTTTAAATTTCTTATCGATTCTCATAAAACAAAAGCTCTCTTCACTCGAGGATGCAATATCGATGAGAGATGTCGCTTTAGTCGAGATTGTTGTCAAAAATGTAATGTTTAGTAGATATATGCGAGGTTTCCTGTAACAAAGATAGGGAAAATAGCTATCGGAAAAGAAACAATACAGCACGATTTAACTCTTGTTTCTGACGCGTCTTCTTCATCTACTAGAGAAAAGGATGCGAAGGTCTAAAAGATTTATTATGTTTAATTAAACACAGATAACGACAGCGAATTAATTAGAGATCTTACAACGGCGACATTAGGCTGACTCAATACTCTTGTATATACCAGCCCTGCGTGTGATTCCTCTCGGGTCAACGCGCACCGGCCGCCACTACCACCGCTCCCCCGAGAGCGACAAATTGCCAAGTTATCCCTTCTCTTCCACGGACGCGACACTTATAGAGAATTAATAGCGGCTTTTATTGCGAGTTCTCGAAGTAACTGGCGGAATTGCCAAAAAAGTTTAAGTCGATCTATGTCGACGGCGACGCAGGCGCAAACGTGCCGTTTCCATGGCGCCGTTGCTATACAGTTAGGTAATGTTGGATTAGACACTACGCCGTTTCCCAACCCTCTCCGGGTAACGTTCAGTACACCCTAAACCATCGTCGCGGTTGGAGGATCTCTTGCACCTTCATCCCCGTACACGTGCATATAGACACACGCAGGCACGGACTGCACGCAATATTATACCTACACATACGTATATATATACGCGCTCCATACGGTGTAACGTAACGCATGCACGAGCGTCCACCCACGCATTTGAGGGAAAACGCGTGGCTATTTACCCCCCTGTTTACGATACGGTCCGTTCGGCCTGTGTATCCGCTAGCTCGTTTGTTTGTTCAATTGTTTCTACCCTGCTCTGCTCTTCCGATCCGCCAGTGATTTCCATTCATTCACATACATACGCGTGTTTCCCTCACTCCCCCTCCCCCTCCTCCCTTCCCTCCTCGATGGTGTTCATTTATCGTCGCGTCCGCTCCATCCCTCGTACGCTAGACAGTGAAGTTGGAAATATATCCTCGATAATCTCATGTCGATTTATGTATGTGCCACAGCTTTTTTAATCACATTCCCGCGTCACGTACCAAGTCACGGTCCCGCTCGAATCCAGCCGGACTGAGTATTTTTGCCCTTCGGGGTGCGCTCCGACACCACCACCACCACCACCGGCGTGGACCCTAAAATCCAGGCTGCGTGCACGTAATCCAGCACAGTGTCGTGGGACGAAAGTGGCGGGTGGTGTGTTTACTGTGGTGGCGGCGAGGGTATTATCCTGACGAAACTAAAACTGGTCAGGTCAGTAACACGGGGTGAGTCGAGCTGCTTGGACCCTTCATATCGCGTCCACATAGCCAATTGTTCTTAATTTTGGATGCTTTCGTGAAAATTAAATACATTTAGCGATTCTAAGAGCGAGTTTATATGTATCTCTAATCTTTATAGTTGAACTGTTTTCTAAGAAAATATATGTATAAATTCTGTACATGGAATGTTCCCTGGTAATATTATAGCAGCGAGGAAATTTGCACATAGTTTGGCATGAAAATATCAATATTGTTTAAGCCGTTTTGTTGTTTTTCTTTCAAATTTTACATGCAATATTTCTCTCTTATTTCTTCGAAGAATTTTGTAATATTTTATAAGATATCTATGCAAAATTGAAAATATTTATATCCAAAATTATATAAGTTTACTTTTATTTTTCTCTGTAATTTATAAAATTCCCTTTAGACATGAAAAAGAAATTAAAGCCGTGAAAGAGAGACAAAGAGAAAGGAGAGAAATATAATCTTCTTTATACATATAACGTGTTAAAATTTAACATTATAATAGATATATTAACGCGTTGAATTCTATTGTTTTTTTATAAAAATTTATATAAAATTAATTAAATCATACAAATGATATATCATTTTCAACAATTAAAACACAATAACTGTTGCCATTAAAACAATACATATCATTTATAATGTTTATTTTAGCAATAATAAAAATCTCTTTATCTTATAATGCCTTTGAAAATACGTATAAAATGTAACGAGCGAATCGAATATAATTACACACAAGTGCGTATTACCTAATGGCTTAATTAGCGATAAATCGTTCGATTCACTTGTATCCCACATGTGCAACCGTTGTCGCGTGAAAACACGCGACGGCACAGCGGCTTTTTTTCTCGCCCTAGATTTTCGACGCTGACGCGCATCGGGGGAACGCGGGATTCGCGGGAACGCGCGTCCCCAGCCACATTTACAGAAACATTAGAGAAATGATCGATACACGACAGGTCGCTATGACAAAAATAGACGAATGTTCGTAATGCGTCCGCATAGAGGTAAATATGTTCCGCCGCTGTGCCGTGTGCGCCGGCTATGTATAGGGTGGTAGATAGGCATATGCGCGTATAGGGATGCGTGACGCTCGACACAGCGGGGTCGCGCAGGCGCTACCTGTAGACTCCGCGGAATACGTGATGATAAATACTAAATTTAACCCCCGGGTGAAACGGCGCGACGTCAGGCTATCCGGATCGATAACACTTTTCTGGCGTCTCTCTTTCTTTTTTTATCGGCGAAACGTGACTTCGCTTATGTAGGACGTTTATGTATATAAATCGTTGACCGCAGAGGTCGGCGGAGGCGCGTACTCCCCATCCGTGTGATACATCCGATACCCTATCGTGTGACAAAGCCTTTATTAAAATTCCGCAACGCTTAAAATTCCACTATCGGGCCGGAGCAAAAATTTGCGCGAGGAGATACGGTGGAGAATGTTAACTAGCTAGATACTTGTTATAAAAAATAGAGCCTTGAAATTCTGCCTGATAGGATTTTTAGTATAATTGAAATAATTTTTTTTAATTAGCAGCGTAAAAAAATTTTATGCACTAATTAAAGCTTCTGTTACTACTTTACTGTTACGATACACAGCTATAAGCCAATATATTAAAATTTTACGCAAAATATTCCAGAATCAGCGATGTACGCAAAGTTATAATTTATACTGTACGCATTAATTAACTAACTTTCAATTAGTTATGCTTTATGAATATTTTGCTACAAGTTGAATACTAAAACTATCATAGATTATTATTTAATTATAGAAATATATTAATTTCTTATTCAATTTTCTAATAAGATGTACAAATTATATGTATGTACAAAATCTAGAGAAATTCTATCTTATTCAAAAATACAAAAGCATGTTACAAGTAACCAATTTAATTTAACATATATTTAACAATTCTTGTATTTTACACCACGATTTTCAATATTTTTAAATTTGCTGTTAAAAGAATGAATAATATTGATAGATATTAATAAATATTATTTATCTGATACCAATTGTAACACATATATATATACATATTTCTATACATTAACAATGGGAATCCTATAACATCATTAAAAGCTATTACGTATCATTTGATGATAAATTTATTTAATTGTGCAATAGAATATATAATCGGTCTTTTATATATATCTATGTAATGCTCTTCATATTCATGAAAACGTACTCTGAAATATCAATATATTTCCGCTTATTCTACATATTTCCATATACACGTCATGCATTTTACGTATGAGAAATTATTAATATAATTCCAACGAACGTAATTAAGCAATGTACATCATCCACGAAAATTTGAGGATAATCCAATCTATCAAAAGCAGTAATATCCAGCCCAAGATTAAATGTACATTCCCTGCCATGTTCCATAATACTCCTTTAATTTGAAAATATAATAATGCATAGGATATGACTGGAAACATTGTCCTATTTATTTAAATAGAGAAAAAAGGAAGTGCTAAAACGACCGGAGAAAAAGGTTACAATTATTTGCATTCAGCAAAAAGGAAGTAGAATACTACTTAATTTATAAAAGACGGTCTCACTTTTCTCATTGTATACCTCAATCAACAATCGAAATGATAAAGACAATAATTACTTTTTTAAAAGTTTAAGCATATTAATTTAAATTTAATTTTTTTTTAATGAATTTCTTTGAACAATCAAAATATTGATCTGTTTCTGTAACTTATACATATTTCTATTTTCAAGGGATTGTCTCAATTTTTTAACATTGTTTTATCCAATAATTTAGTAAAGATGTATATGTACGTATATATCTACCACAAATTGTTAATATATCTTATTAAATAATAACAGTGTTTTTTGAATTTCTGTCAAAAGATTATACATAAAATATCACACTTAGATAACACACATCTCGAAATAAAATCCGCATTCTATGGAATCCGTTACGTTGACATACAGCAATATATTCGAAATAACTTGTGTGTGAATAAATGCAGAATATTCTATCAAATACGACATGATAAAATGCATTTATTTACACACGTGCATTTACCACACGTAACGCTGTCGTACTGAACCCGTGAAATGCAGAGGTTTTAGAATATATCGAAATATAATTATATTCGCTCTAATAAAAAGTGAACAATTATTAAAATTATATTTATTATATTAAGTTTTAAAAAGAAAACAATTAGCTAGATCATTATTGTAATAAATTGAAAAACTACATTTTGTTAGCTTTATAAAGAAACGTAACTAAAACAACAATGTTTGGTATATGCACTCTCTCGTTCTCTTTATTTTCTTTTCTCCTTTTTTTGTTATTGAACAACACCTGATATCTCGGGAATATCTATTCTCTCGAGAGACCTGTCGTACCGTCACCTTTATTCGCACGAAATCTATCGACGAGCTTGGCGTTTGGTGTCTTCAAATCATACGCCCATCCCAACCAAGCCATAAAATCTATAAAAGCGGTAGTCAAATTGAGACGGTAGAAGCCAAGCTCCGCGGCCTTATAATCCCACGGGAAGCAATGATGGTAATTGTGCCAACCCTCGCCCAAAGCAAAGAACGACACCACAGGATTCTCCGTTGACTTAAGAGTTCTGGAACAAGAAAAAGAGAAAGGGAAGTTTTACCGCTTGATCCAGGCCGACTGCACAAACGAACTTTCGCTGGAATATCGTGCAACAGATTAAGGGAAATAATACTTTACAACTTGTATCTGCCAAAATATTTAGGTGTGAAATATAATATTTGATAAATTTACTTATTTTTCAAAATAATGATTATATATAAAATATGTACAATACCTACGTGTGCTTTATTTAAAAAAATAGAGATCTAAAAAAGCCTTTTTTGAAAATTTGCTATTTTTTATAATATCGATTTCTTTCGTAGAAAAAAACATTTACTTTAAAATGATGTAAAAACCTCTGAACATATTTTAATAACTATGATTTTTAATAATGTAAAACATTATCTTATGAAAATATGGATAATAATTATTATAAAACTTGTTTAAAATATATTATCTAATATAATTGTATATTTATTTTATCGGAGTATTGATTGAAAATTATCAAACAATATTGATTATATTGATGTTAACACTAATAAACATTGTTTTATTTATCTGAGAATAGCTCTTGATTATTCCAATTAAATTCCCAATTTAAATTGCATCGAAAAATCTATTGTATAATCTTTTATGTTAAATTAAAATTCTTCTCTGTTTATATCTGAGCACGATCTGAACATACTGGTCAATTTTAATAATAATCGGAAAGCGGAAACGTGATCCCAAAAGATTGACACGTACTTGTTGTAAGGTCGATTGCCCCACAAGTGAGCGAAGCTGTTGACAGAGAAAGTTGAATGCAGCGACCACACGTAGCGGATAACCACGCTGCTTATGCTTATGTCCCAGGTTTCATTCCATACGTAAACCGGTACTACAGCCGGCAGGACAAAGCACAAAGGCACCATAATTAGAATGTAATACCTGCAATAAAAAACGTTCTAACGTTAGCAAGTGTTATACATACGCCAAGTTCAATACGCGTAACGGCATCCCATTCCTTTACGACCGTGTGACCTAAGTGCATAAATCAAAATAAATTGAACGATACAAGCATTCAATTCCGCTTTTTGATGAGACACTTTACATTGATTGATTACTACTTTTAATCTCCCTCATCTCGAGGACCAACGCGTCACGTAATGTCAAACACTGCGGATAATTACGAAGCGATTTCGCGAGCAATTCAACTCACAATCATCGTGATCTTTTTTTTACAAATATCGAACTTCATTTACTTTTCACAGCACTGAATACAAATCGTGTAATACTTGTGTAGTACTTGTTCTTCACGAGTACCTCTTCAAGTTTCTTTCTCTTTTTATTCTCGAGCATTTATTCATCTGAATATAATGAGAAATCTGTAAATTATTACTGTAGAATTTTTGTTATATATTTTCTTATTTCTTATGTTTTTATTTTTGTTTTGTATTATTATTTTTTTGTAGAAAAAAAAGATTGTTTATATTCTTTTATATCATGTATTAAAAATAATATGTAATAAGAATAACCTTTATTTCTATGATTTTATGAAAAACATAAAAATATATTTAAAACTGATATAGATAGATTCCATTGAAAGTATGTTTAAAGGATTATATTTTGTTACGACGTGAAGTTGATAGATGCCAGTAAATTCACTCAATCAGATTCGATCGCTGCAAGTCGACCACACAACTCCAATTAATTATATTTCTCGAACGTTATTTTATTTTTTTCTATTTTGTGAACATTTTATCACGTAAAAAATGCGTTGATTGCTTTGATACGCTGAATTATTACTCACTTGTCAACAAAGCGTATTACAGGATCAGCAGCGATATCGCTCATATCCACATTTTTGCCGTACTCTTTAACTGCCGGATGATGCTTCATCATTAACCAACCGATGTGCGAGAAAAAAAAGCCGCGATTAGCGTTATGCGGATCCGCACACGTATCTGTGTACACGTGATGTGTTCGATGAACACGAAGCCATTTAGACGGTTGAGTCTGCGAAATAAGAAAAATTTTAAACTTAATAATTAAAGTTTCTTACAGTAAACGAAACAATTTCTTTCAGTCCCTGCTGAAAAAAATTAAAAACTAATTCTACAAAAAAAATATCACAATTGTGAAATTTCAAGTAAAATAATATGAAATTCTCAATTATACGATTATACAATTATATATTCTAATAATCATTGCTAAATCAATCCAGGAAGTACCATAATGAATATCATATACCATAGTGAAAATATTCTTGAAATATATTCAGTAAATGTATGCAGCTAAATAAACAGATGTATTGATCACACAGATTTATCATATTCTATCAACTAGGATATATTAGAGAACAAGTAAATATTTCTAATGTTACTGTGTTACATTACTGTGCTATTGCAATCATTTAATAATTCCTATTGCAAAATAATGAATTTGTATGAAAATAATAGCTTGTGGCAAATTATAATGAATTTTAATGTAGGCTATTAACTGATCGGACATTACGATTGTAATATTTAAGAATCTTACCTGGCCAGCCATACAGTATAAATAAATAAGTAGTATTCTGAGTGGCAATTTGGCTTTATAGCTCCTATGTGCCCAAAGACGATGAAGACCAGCAGTTATGCCAAAACCAGTTGTATATAAATGTAAGATACCTAAAAATAATCAAATAAATAAAACAAGAACATCAAATTTATTTTTTTATTGTTTAACATATAATGATAATAGTAATGAACTAAACAATTTTTTTATGAAAAAATATAAAAATATCAAAATAATTTTTAATTTGTAACAACTGAAAATAAATTATTATTGTGAATTAAATTTGAAATGTGCACACAATTAATATAACTTTATTTCCTAATTACTTTAAGTAAAGAAAATTTAGTTTAACATAATTTTAATTAATAAATACATACACCACATCCAGGTCCAAAATTTTGCTTCACGATATCGCGTAGCAAACAAGTAGATCGCGGCGATGTGGAGAGCGGCGATGACAATTATATTACACCAAATTAATGGCTGCTCTGCCGGCATGTGCTTCGGTGGTTGATTGAGAATCAAATTCCTGCCATTTTTCGTTTCCAGTTGCACTGACTTTCGATTTTTATTGTCCTCGTATTCGGTTATTGTTGAATTGTACATTGCTGGGTTTTGAAACGTTTGGGGTAGTAGTATTGGCATATTTGTTTATTTCATTAATTTACTATCGTCTATTTATCTCGTTTGCGAACATATCGTGACTAAAGATTTCAAAAAAATCACACCATCTCGAGAGAAATGAGAAAGATAAATCACAGTTCGCAATTAATTTACCGCATAATGTATCATCTTTTCAGGCTTTAATAAACTTTTATTTATTGATTTTATTCTATTTTGTCTAATCTATATATATCCATTAATTTACAAAATTGTTGGCTACTGTATAGTGCAAGAGAATTGTATCTTCACAAAATCACAAAATAATTGTATAAAATAGCAGAGATATCTTATTTTAAAAAATACAAAATTAATCTTTAACATACAATTAACAAATATACTTTTTGAAATAAATAAAAAATCTTTATAAAAATTTTCATAATTAATATAATAATATAAAATTAAATTAAAAACAAATAAATTGCCATAGCAAATAAAAAAAGTATATAAATTTGTATCTACATTGTATGAAAGGTATTAAGAAATTAAAAGTATTTGTTCTAATGCTAAAGATTCAGACGATATAAATCATCATAAAGATCTGTCAATTATGTTACATAACATGTTATTTACAAAATTACATGGCAAACGCATGATCCAAGGATTTCGGATCAGTCTCGTTATAGGGCGATCTTGTGTTAACAAGCATCCATTGTTAGCTGTACAACTGCCGTCTCGGTGTCCCGACGTGTAATTATCTGCATTAGACGAGCATCTAAATCACAGCATCGAAACGAACGGAACGCGTTTCCCAGTTCACGTGTACGAGACGCGTCTCATATCGCTGCACACCGCTTATAACGAGCGTAATTTCAACATCTGGGACTCTCGTGGCAAAGTGAGTAGCGTTCCTGCATTCCCGCGCGAAATGCGAGAACGCAAGTTCGTGGTCAAGGCAATTACGCGTCACGCATTGCCAACCGATTCGTTCCGCCTCAAAACTCGAGACCCATTTGATGTGAAAATCAATGTAAAGTATATACGTATACATACAAAACTTTTTTATTAAATATGTATGTGTTGACTAGTTGAGATCACAAAAGGAAAGCGTTATCGAAATGACTTATATATATATATATAATATCCGCTATTGCTATCCTTTTGTGATCTCAACTAGTCAACACATACGTATTTAATAAAAAAGTTCTGTAATAAAAGTGCCTTTAGTTTACACAACTCACATACATTTAATATTAATCTATTATATAATTAACAAAAACATTTATTTAAGTACTTTTATTTCCATTTAGAAAGCATGTTTAAAACAAACCATTCATAAACAGTGAAATTACAAGTGTTTTGGTTCGCATGATTAAACGCGTCGATTGTGATCAGATTTATAACGGATACACTTTTATTGAAATGAATGTAACTTTTTACACTGACAATGTAGAAAGTGTTCAATTGACATGATTAAAGTAAAATAATGAAAGTAGATATAAAAACATGTAAAATTTTACGATAAAATGAGTGAGTTTTATCTGCTCTTCCTATAATAAATACTCTTTCTATATAACATTTTGATATCCAGTCGTACAATTCAATATGTAGAAATTTAGTTTTTCGAGATAATTATGTAAAAAATTGTGATTAATGTGCCATCGAGTTCAATGTAATCATTCAAACTTTCTTTGCCACAAAACCAGTTTCGCGAATGCAATTAGAAAGCTTTTGGTATCATCAATAATACAAATTGTATTTCTCCGCTATTAACATCCTCTACATTTTATTATGGTTATATATATAGATTCCATATGAGCTAAATTCTTTCCACTATGTATATAACATCGGCAGAACTTTTTATATCAAGAAAAATTGTTAATATCGCGAAGAGAATTCTCTAATAATATCGACTGATTCACTGCAAAGATAAAAATGGAAAATAAGATTGATGTTGCTTCCTAGCCTTCTATTAGAATGCCAAATTGATTTGACAGTTGCGACGTTCAAATTTAATAACGGCAGTTGACAACTAATTCACTATCTCGATAAATATTACAATATTCTGAGCACCTTTCTCACAAGTAGAACAGTAAAAGATTCTCGAATTAAACTCAAATCAATATTTTATTTCTTCACACAATACTTTTCACGCGATCTGATTCATCTTGCGACAGACTGTTAGCACAAACCGCGCAGTTACGTTATTTTTCGTTGATGCTGGCGATTTCGTTGAATCTTTATCGGCGATATTCGTGCGTCGTTTGGTCCTAACAGGTAGCGGTACCGTAATCTACAGTGTAATAGCGGTCGTACCCCGTGACCCCGCTCATAAAGCGGTCGCGATTTCGCGGCAGTTTTGTTTCCCCACGTACAGTTCACGTAAGGGCTCGCGCAATGACTTACGTTAATATGTATGAACCAGCCGGGGGGATATTTCTGCCGGCGTAAACGCGGATAATGCGCCTCTATCGCTGCCGCCTACGCTGCTCCGAATCCCGCGGTTTACAACTCCCCCCTTTCTTGTAATCCCACCGCGGGTTTAACGTGGCGAAAATGCACGCTAAATCGCGTTCGGTACCGAAACAATGGGCAAGAAAGTACGATTGCGCGAAAACCCGTAAAGTTGAAATAGCGTTTCTGGATATTCGCAAATAATATTCTGGCGCAAATAAACCAATCTAATACCGTAATATTTATCACAATTGTGCGTAATCTGTTTCTAAACGCAAAATCGATATGTAACCTGCACGAGGTATATTGCGCGTTAAAGTGAAATTATACATGTATGTAACATAGTCTATTTGATTTATTATCTTGTGTATTTGTTGCTCGTATTTAACGGCAGAAAATTCGAAATTTATATCAGTAATACGATCAAATATTATGTACCAAAATAATAATCAATTTATACATGTATACACTCCCTTGTTGACACATCTATTAAGTGGTTCACGTCCAAAACAAATTGTTTGTACAGTGCAGTCTATCTATATATTATCGATCATTTAACAATTGATAATATTATTATAAATATGTCTCTCTCCGATGTATCAGTGTCCCTTCTCCATTAGGAAGGCAGACTGTGACATGAGAAATGTTTGATGTATCAAATCGATATATCTTGGTAACTTTGCTTGAAAGCTCCATCAAAGTTACGACCCGGTAAGAGGAAAATCATGCCAGTAGCCTATTCAGAAAGTATGTCTATCCGCGTGCATTGTTATGCAACGAGGTCGATGTTGAAATCTATCGATAAGCTCCGTTCTGTCACCCCTGCGCCACTCTGTACGTTCTCATTATATCTTGATCATGTACCTATCTTCTCGACGAGCGGATATACGGCGTGTCGACAGAGTTTTCGTCAACGATATTGTTTGCAATAGATAATGTTACAATAATTATAATTTTTTAAAAGGGAACAACAAGTTTTTAATACTCTTACTCTTTTTACAATATTATTTAAACGAGTCAAAAACAAAAGTATTATTTTTCAAACTGAGATAAACATTCCAAATAAATATTCAAAATAAATATATGTTTGCGTTTAGTAATTTTGTCTTTCATAAAATAATTTATACTTATTATATATTAAATTATAACAAATATACGACTTGAAGCTTTAAAAATTTAAGCTAAATGAAAAATTAAATACAATATATAAGTTTTAATATTTTTGTGCTTTTCAATATAAAATTAAGATATTTTAAAAACTTTTCTAAATATTTAGAATTATTATTTAATTATTTGTCACTGATATCTAAAAAAGGAAATATATAGTTTTTAAGAATCAGAATTATAAATATCTATGGATTGGAACTGCACCAACGTACATTTAATTACAAATATTCCAGATTTCCAATAATTCTGAATTTGTATACTTTTGCTTTTTACAATACGTAAATATAAAGTTCCAACAAAAATTTTCATTGTTTCAAAACACGATCGAAAATTCATACGACTAATGATGATCACTACACTTGTTTATACTTACTTAGGTCGAATGTCCTGTGCAATTAGTCAAACGCAAATCCAATAGAATAAAGGACCGCCGGGATGTACCGACGCGTACCGTACTGCTGTTTCTCTCCGAATGTTTAATAAGTTTAAGATTCTCAATATATCATACTACGCCTTTATAAAGAGGCTCGTAACGCAAACATATTTAAAACAACGCTTGGGATCCGACCATAGTGGAAGGAGAATCAGCGTCATGAGTCTTGATTCGTGGAGCGACGTTCTAATGCAGCCAAATACATATCTTGTCCATTAACCGGAACCTTTCGCTGATTCCCCCAGGGAATTTTTCTGATTTTCTTTTAATTTTTGTAAATGTCTGCTATTTGTAACGCTGGTACACGGCAGTGTCAATATATCATATTGACGTTACATAACAATGCAATACCATGACATACAGTAAAATACAAATCTATAGAAAGATTATTATTTTAATATATGCCTACTAATAAAATTTTTCATTTTACTGCTTGTGAAAAAAATATTTGATTACTCAATTTTATCCTCAAATTATCATATATTCTAAGCAATTCTTCAAGTTGTTTTTAATGCAGATAATGAAACATTAATCCTTGTTAAATTAGAAAGAAAGAATTACTAACAGAATATTAACAGATTTGAGAGAAATATTGGATTTGAAACATTTTGAAATGTTACATAATTTCTCTACAATAATAATATTCAACTTTACAATTTTTAAAGACTTAAAAATTTTAATTTGTTTTTTAATTAATTATATATTTGTAACAGTTTAACAGTCATTTGAATATTTTTCATAATTACCAATTTTGTTTTATATTTGCGTGGCGTATATATTACCGATATAATTCAGGACGGATGTGATTGTGTGGTAGAGCAGTTTCCGCTCATCGAGCAAAAGAGAGATCTTAAAACACTTTCCTTTCAAGCATAATTAAATAAGGAACTTTCACAGTTTGATAGCAAGAAGCATTATATTTAAGACATGAGATTCTCGCTTATTTCTTATTCCATTGCACTAAATTATTCTAGTTAATAGTCTTTTACAAGATACAAAAAGTAGACAGAAATTTTGAAAAATGATAATTCTTTTAATTTAAATACAAGTATAAGCCACAAAACTTTTAACATTATTTTATATTGCTTGTCTAATTTAACGATATTCACTCAGAATAATCTGTATCAATTTTGTTTCAAAAGAATGTCTAAATTTTTTAACATGCAATTACGTATAAATAGAAAAATACATGTCTCTAATTTTGATGTATATTACTGATCTATATATGTATATATATATATATATATATATATATATACACACATAAATATGCTTTTGTTTGGATGTAAATATATTGTATTACAGATCAATAATATCCTACATATAGGATCCTATGTACATACATAGAATATTACTGATCTACAATACAATATATTTACATCCAAACAAAAGCATTAAATCAGAGAAATAAGGAAGCATTTAGATATGTCTTGTAAGTACATGAATTTCACTCAATTTAATAAGTATAGATTTCACTCAAACGAGCTAATGCTGTATTACTTAATTAATATCCTTGTCATTTATATGTTACAGCTTAGATGTAAATTGTTCATTTTTTACTGAAAACAAGAACTGTATCAATAGTATCGGTATTACGAATATTTTCTTTTATAGAAGTCGATTGTTATAAAATACTGTCACTCTCTGATACAACAGTTGAGTGACATGTGTCTACTTTTTGAACACTGGTATTAATACTGACAATATAAAAGTTTCTCTTATACACATAACAATATTTAAAATACGATACTGTTTTATTAACTGTCATTATTAATTATTGGAATTATAATTTTATAAGAATAAAAATGCATACAATATTTCTGTAGTATAAAATCGCTACAGAGAAATTATCACGGCGTTTACTCCCTAATTGAAAAATGCTTTGGCACACGTGAATTGTTATTCGCGAAAAACAGATTTGGATGGAAATTGAACGATGTGAAAACGGTACGTGTTCTGGATTTGCTCAAATAACAATGTGATACTTGACTGCATAGAATTAATTTCATTTTGCTTACAATTAGATACGTCACGTTATAATTCCCTGTATCTAAAGTATCTTTAGCACGCACTGTTTACTCTAATGTGTTTAATGTGATAAATGATCGTATGCGCATGCATTAAAAAGGCATGTACTAATAAAGATGCACAAACTTTCACATCATAAATTATTATCGTTGTGTATATCAAAGAAATTTCAGAAATAGTTTCGCAGATAGTTTTATAATTTCACAATAACGATAATCGAATCTATTTGCGATTCCTAGAAATAAACGGAAAAATTTTTATTCAAGAAAGATACTAAGCAATATATTATTGACAGTATCGAATAATTTCAGATCGGTAAGTCTATTAATCGAATAAAACTAAATAGGAAGCTAATAAATCTTTTATAATTAAAGAAATAGAAAAGTATAAGAAAGAAAATAAAAGACATAATATTGAATGATCAAAATCAATCACGGATGGATATTTACGTGAATGTTGAAAATCCAAAAAGAATTGATTTATATTTATTTTTATCAATTATCTAACCAGCACTAGCTATTAACTTGTAAATTACGGGGCTTCATGGTGTCCGTTTGAATTCGTTTACGCACTGTGAAAGAATTGAAGAGAACAGGCTGTCCAATAACAATAACAGGGTAAAACGTCGAAGCAATCGGTGAAACAAGTTAGATGTGGTTGCAATTGACAGCACAAAGGATACGTTTGCAGAGGCGAGAAAAGATGCGACGAAGAAGGAGAAATTCTCTTTCCTCTTTCCGTGATACCGATTGTCACCATGTTTCTTCCGCGCTTCGATTTGCTCGGCACTTTCTTGAAAGCCCTTTCTCCATTGTCCTTTATCGCGTATCCTTTCGTTTTCGCTGTCGTAGCAGCATCTATAGAAGCATCTGCCTTGGCATCTGCCTTGGCATCTATAGAAAAGAGGAATCTCGTATTTTTCTTATGTATCTATACATTATTCAATAATCTCACGATTTAATACATAAAATGAGATATCATATAAAAATTAATTTGTTCTACATCTTTCTTGTCATTGTCATTTTTTACTTCGTAATAATTTTCTTAGAAGCATTCATACAGAATTTTAAGAAAAAAGAAATGCAAGATAGAGATCCTCGGAACAACGTAATTTTTTAAAATATGTATATTTACCTTCAGTTGGAGAAATGAGAAGACCCCTTATGTTGCCTTGCTCATCATCAATTACTCCAGCATCGATTGCCATTATTGGAGTCGTAGTTCTCTCATACGCACTTGCGAGTGGATTCACATCTGCGCCTGCATCTGTTCCATCGTCTAATACTCCATAATCAGCAGGTGTTTCTCTTCTTTTAATTGTGGCAGCATCCGCAGTAATTTTAGCAACATCTACTGCATCAAAATTTTCTCCCTCAATTGCAGCAACCTCTTCAGCAAGTACTTTTCTCCGTTTAATTGCAACATCATTCTCATCAACTTTTGTGGAAATCGCAATAGAGTCTACAACTGCATCAGCAGGTTCTTTCTCTCTTTCAACCGCGGCAGCAAAATCTGCAACTGCATCAGCAGGTTCTTTTTCTCTTTCAATCGCGGCAGTCTTCACAGCAACTTCTATAACGGAAATCTGCAGATCAGATGCAATCTGCAGTAAGATCTGCAATTGCATCCACAATAGTTGTTCTCATTGCGATTCTAGCAGCGAGATCTGCAACAGCTATCGCCATGGCAATCGCAGCGACAGCTGCAGCAGCTCCTCCTGTCACTGCTAACAGTTACGTATCGATCCATAAACTTGTTTGCAATCACGTCGTTTATTCTTGGATCAAATCTACGTTTGTCTAGATTTTTTACAAAACATACCGTAGCTCTGCTGAATCGACAAGAACCATGAATCGTTCGTTTTAAAGGCGCTTATTCCAAGAGCAGGTTTTTACTATTTGTTTTATGTAAACATGTATTTTGTAGAAAAGCTCTATTTTTCAATTATCGAGATAACATTAGGAGACTGCTTTATTTAAGAGATCTTTATTCATTTAAAAGAGAACCTCATTTTTTTAATTGAACAAAATATTGTCCCGTGTTTTCCGAAACAAAGATTTTATATAATGGCATCTTGTTTAAAGCGATTGAATCAATTACTGGCTAAATCCGCGGCCTCCTTTTTAACGAGCTCCTCACAGCGGCATATTAAACGACCGTAAGGCACACGGGGCAAACCACCATCGTCCCAGCGACCGCTTTGAAGCTCCTTCAATGTCAGCTGTCGGGAGAAATACGGTTGTTTCTCGTCTGAGTCTCCGCGAGTGTAAAACGCTCCGCGCATACTTTTGACTCGTGTGATCTCCGTTATGAGGCACTTGCCGAGATAACTGATCCGAATGTAGAGCGAAATCGTGGCGGCGGTATTCCGGAAGTTCTCGTCCAACAAATTATATGTTCCCATCATAGACCTTAAAGAACATATTCACTGTATTATTAAGGATTACACAGGACGTATCCTGTAACTAACAAGCATATTTCCTTTGAAAGAAAAAGTAAAATAATTCAAAGGAAGTATATTTTCCTACGGATTTCCCAATCAATATAATTCAAACATCTCTTTCTTTTTTTCAAGAAACATTCTGATATGACATAATCATATTATTTGTAAACGAGTAACATATAACGTTATAAATACTAATTATATAACGTTAACGTAAACAGTATAATAATAGGCGATAGTGTATTTTAATGAGCTAACACATTTTTGTAACATCAGCTTTTTCTCGATAATCAATTTCCAACGAATTTCCCGAAACAAACGCGATTGGACAGTAAGATTAGAAAGAGCTTTCGAGATAACAAGTTCCCTCCTAACATCAACAATCGGCGCCTCTTCGGTTTTCAGCGTTATTACCTCGAAATAATCTGGCGTTTGTAAAAGTCCGACAAATGTTCCGCCAATTCATTCCGCTCGCGGACCTGTTTGGCGATGCTGTTCAGCAGATTATCGACCGACACAGCAACGAAGCCGATTCTCTGGCGCGAGACCATCTCAAAATACTTGCACACTTGTTTCTGAACGTATAACTGAACATGAACACCACTCGCTTCTTTCTCGAAGAAATCCGTCGGCACGGCGAAGACGACGGATCTGCCGCCATAAAATTTCTCGTTTTCATAGTTGGAACCTTGATAAGGACGATAATCATGTCGGTTCGGTGATAGCGATGTCCAGTCCTTATCCAGCATGCGAAACATGACGATCGTCTTCTTCAAGATGACTTTGTCAAACGCCGTGGTCCACGGGACAAACAACTGTTAATCGCGATCGCGAATAATTAACGCTCTGATCATTTATCAAAATTTATTTATCTATTGTCAACAATAATTTATTAATACATTTTATATTAAAACAAAATGTAGAAATAAACTTAGCTGTTAAAATCCTGAAGATTATCTGAGGATCCCAGAATTTCTATTGAGATTTTTTGCAGTATTTTTACTGTATACAGCGTAATATAATTCATATATTCGTAATCTTATATTGGTATTCAATAATTCACTTACGTTTTCCACAGCAATTTCTAACATCATTAAATGCGAGTCGTGCGAAAGGATGACCGACGACATTGTTCGTGAGTTTATATACGTATCGTAGTGTTATTCCATCGTCTCGTTCGTGACATTAATTTTATGGTGTTTGTTGGTAACGTACCGGTTACAATTCATTTTTTGACATATGTCATATTTGTTGCTGCGACTATTAATTTTTAGGTTTAAACGCTATGCGACACATTCGAAAACCAACAGAAGTTGCCGCTTCCATATCTCGAAATTACATACATCGATATTAAACATGTCCCTACATTTACTGATCGGAATCGAGAACTTGGGCGTTAGTTCGCGTTATGTATATACTATAGATTTTCAGTACTGACAATGTCTATTGACATTGGCAATATATAACACGGCCTTAATCTGCCATTTGCATTCATATAAAAGAATAAGAATGAAATGGCTTGACTAATATGAAACTTACAGATTAAATTTTATCAACCTATTAAACAATTTTATATATCAATCAGAATTTTTTACATTCTTATTCGTCGTACTTTTAGGATTGCATTTCAAATCTTAATATTAAATTTATATTTAATTTATAATATTTCTTTCTATTAAACTTTTTGAACTGATTTGAAAAATATGATTATTTATATGTATATTTGAATCATTTATAAATTCTTTAATTATTTCAAAATTTGTGAACATAGCACATATACCTGTTTATTCGCTTAAGAGAAAAATCGATCTAATATTAATCAATGAATTTACTATAAAGAGTATAAAGCGTTAATGCGATAGTGGCATATAAAGCATATTATATCACGCTCAAGAAAGTTGTTCAAAAGTTACTTGCTGTTTCCCTGCGAACTCTCATGTAGCAAGAAATTGGATTTAACGAAAGAAAGGCCAATCCCGTTGAGATTCATTAAACCGACGTTTCACTACGAAACTTGCGTCATTAGTAACTCGCAAAAGAATGGAAACAGACTTATACGTCCGTATAAGTTGCCGAATCAGCCAAACTGTAACACAATGTCGCAATATTGTAGACCGAAATGCCAGATTGTTTAGCCACAGAATTACTAAACGATTCTTTCTTCTTCGACAGATCGAGAGAAAAATTTTTGTAATATTTATAGATTCCATCAAAAGATCTAATATTTTATAATTTCTATATTATCAGTTTTATAGGATATAACATTTATATGTATAAAAATTTTATATAAAAATGTCTCTCTTGCAAGAATTTTTATATATTTTTTGTAAGAATGTTTTAAAATGTATTACATTTTATGTACAAATACATACACATAGAAAAACTCCATTATGTCATCCAAACTTCCTTACTCTGTATAAAAAAATCATTAGTAGTACTTTAATAATTTAGAACATTAATTAAAAACATTAAGAACAATCATATCCTTTCAAAAGAGGTAATACATACAGTATAATGTATTAAAGAAAATTTTTTTCTCTTCAGTTGCATTTCGTAGATTATAAAAAAATAAATACGTAACCTCGACGTTTGCGGAAAGCAGAAAAAGTAAATAAAAATAAATGAAAAAAAATACAGTTAGCTACTGACTTAATTAAACCTTACTTAATGAAAGAAATTTTTTATTAAATGGGTTGTCTTTATAAACGGAAAATGAAGTAATTATTTAATTTCTAAATAGTACTCATTAGAAATTTATAATAATTAATTACAAATGTAAAATGTCATTTTCATTAAATTTTAAATATTGAAACGTAACATATAAAAACCATTGAAGATATCTACTTAATCCAACCATTTATTTTAAAGTTGCACAAAATATTAAAAAAATAAACGTATAAAATTACAGATTAAAAGACGTTGATTAATGATTAATGTTTCGAACTAAATAGGATAAAATATATAACATACTGTAACGATACATAATAACATACATATATTGGTATCGGTAATAATTTCGGCATACCATAATATATAATTACTTATGGCATTGTCAGTATATAATTACTCGCGTTTAATATTTCATTAAATTGAACGTAATAGTAAAGATAGTAATTATCATCCGCTATTCGGTCTGGTTTCTCTGAATGTCTGGTTTCTCCTGAGCTATGACTTTCAGCGCAAGTATAACATTGCGTCTAAAATTATTGTAGCCCCGTTTCTTCATTTTCTGCGCGTCTTTCAATTTCAAACGCAATTTAGCAGGAGGATTCAGCAAAATCAAAAACCACGAGTTTTATACCGCTGCGCCGTAAATACTGACTTATACGCCGTTCGTAACATCGGCTTGCAGTGCTCTACTCTCTCCCCCCCCC